GGGGGGGGGGGACAGATGGGCCGAGGGTCCCGGCAGGGCGCTGTCTTGTCAGGAATGAGTCCAGATGACAAGAGCACAGCAGGAGTTTGGGCTGAGGTGCTCGGTCTTTAATTTTGGAAATAGTGAATGCGACAAATAAGAACACAAGGCCTAAGAGAAGTGTACAAAAAAGAAGGGGTAGTTTTTTGGTCATATTATCATATTAAGACATGTTAATTAGGTCATATTGGTCATATTAAGTGACCCCAGAGCTCTGTCTTGAATCTTCCCCAGTCTGTCCAGCGTTGAGGAAGGTTCAAGGCACCAGGCCTGGGCAGAGCATCTGGCTGCTGTGAGGAATCTTATACAAGCTTCCCACTTGACTGTCTTTAACGCTTTTCGTGTAATTTTCCTGGAAGAAACAGCCACAAAGTTGCCCCTGGGATACAAGAAAACACTCGGTGATCATTTCCTTAAACTATGAATACCAAATGCGATTATTCCACAGTCACAGAACCAGTTTAGAGTGGAGAAACTCTAAACTGTTGCCAAAGGAACCCTGGCAGAAGGAAAGGTGCCATTAGCTCGCCCTGTCCTGGCAGGTCTGTATTGTTGAAATTCTTCAAATCACCCAAACCGCCCGCCTCCCCTTCCCGGAAGTGGCCGGAACCGCCTCCTCAGGCTTTAACCTGCCGGGCGTCTGCGGTGACGGAGCCGCTGTCGGGCAGCGCAGAGCTCCCTCCCTCACGGTGCTCTGGCTCCGCCTGCTGGCGGTACGGGGAACAGCCCGTTCCGGAAGGCAGGTTCCTTCGCTTTTGTTTTGGTCTCCCGGGGATCGCAGTGCTCGGCGTCTTCTGACATCATTCTCGGAGGGAGCGCTGTTTCGTCGGCGGACTATAATTACTTTACAAAAAGTAATAACGGGACGGAGAAACAAATGGGCACCTCTTGCCTACTGTTAATCCCTTATTGGATCAGAACACAGCCAAGTCGCCGAATCTGATCTGACGCGAGGCGCACGTTTTAAAATGGCTTACAAATAAGTCGTTCAACCCATGTAGCTCCTCCGATTAGCTAGTAGGTGACTAATCTGAGGAGCTGTGGACGGGTCTTGTAAGAAGCCAGGGTATCGGCTTCATTAATGTAACGGAACGGGGGCTCAGGCGGGCGCCCTTGCCACATTAGGTCGGCCCCCCACCGTCGGGGGCTCGAACCCTAGACTCCCGCGTCACCCATCAGGGACCGAGCCCGGTGAGCCAAAGAGAGATCTTTCTACAACCCAGTAGCTGTAGTCCTGCTATCACAGGGAAGGGCGGTGACGTCACCTGCTCTGGTACGCCGGCTCTTACACAGTAGCTGTCGGCCGTAAGCGTTACACTCTCCCCCGCTTAATTCGCCGTCCCCGGCGAAGGGCTATCCCACCCCGCTTCTGACACCAATGTAACGCAACGGGGGCTCAGGCGGGCGCCCTTGACGCATTAGATCGGCCTAAAATCTCTTTGGCTCACCGGGCTGGGTCCATGCAGAGTGACGCGGGAGTCCCGGGTTCGAGCCCCCGACGGTAGGGGGCCGACCTAATGCAGCAAGGGCGCCCGCCAGAGCCCCTGTTGCGTTACAATAACATGGCTGGGTAACTGGTTACTGACCCTACCACTGGCTCTGGCGTACTGTCTCCTGCTCGTAGTTTTAGTTGTAAACGCTCTTCACTGGTGTCCTCTGGGGATCAGCTGGTTCCCCTTGAAGGAGTTGAATACATGAATGAGGCCCCCAGCTGTGATGACTAACCCCTACTCAGAATCGGGGTGTTATAATGAGGAAGGGCACTGGTCCCAACACAGAGTCACGGCTCCTGCCCCAATACTGTCCACGCCCAGCGATCAGGCACCCCTCGTCTCCACCCGAGCTAGCTCTTCGGCTCAAGCCCCTCCTGAGCGCGCTCACTGTCCTGCTCCCCGGTCCGCAGGTACGAGGCGGAGCTGGCCCTGCGCCAGTCGGTGGAGGCCGACGTCGTCGGGCTGCGGCGCGTCCTGGACGACCTGACGCTGACCCGCTCGGCCCTGGAGGCCCAGGTGGAGGCGCTGCAGGAGGAGCTCATCTACCTGAAGAAGAACCACCAGGAGGTGAGGGACGCCTCAACAGGTCATTCACGGTCACCTCGCCTTAATACAGCCCCATCCACCTCTCCTCCTGATTCTCAGCGCAGATCACGGCCGTGTCGCCCTGCAGCTCCCAGGAGCTCAGCCAGTACCTGGAGGGGAGACTCCTGGGACAGCTAAGGTTGTTGCTGGAAGAGGTGTTAGTGGGGCCAGTAGGGGGCGCTCACCCTGCGGTCAGTGTGGGACCTAATGCTCCTATTATAGCAATGGGGACACTGTACTGTAAAAAGGCTCCATTCTTCGGATGAGACGTAAAACCGAGGTCCTGACTCTCTCTGGTCACTAAAGAATCCCAGGGCCTTTCTCAAAAAGTAGGGGTGTAACCCCAGTGTCCATGCAGATCTCCCCCTGGCCTTTACCCATCATGGCCTCCTAATAAACCCCCATCCCTGAACTGGCTTCATCACTCAGCTCTCTTCCCCACTGAGAGCTGGTGTGTGGGGAGCAGACTGGTGCATCATCCAGGTGGGGGCTGCACACTGGGGGTGGTGGAGGGGATCCCCATGACCTGTACAGCGCTTTGAATGGAGTGTCCAGAGAAGCGCTATATAAGCGTAAGCAATAATAATCACAGATTTTTATGGATCTTTTGGAAGGATGGAATTCTCCCACCCCCATCAAAACAAATCAGCCTTTCGTTCCTGGGGTTCTGATCTGTACAGCTCATCAACCCCATCAGGCCCTGCTACCCCGACAGCTCAGTGGCGAAGGATGCAGTGAGCTCGAACCCGCGCTCTCTCGCCCTGCAGGCGCTGCTGGTGCTGCGCTCTCAGCTGGGCGGCCAGGTCAGTGTGGAGGTGGACGCGGCGCCCCAGCAGGACTTGATGGAGGTGCTGGACGAGATCCGGGCGCAGTACGAGGGCATCGCCGAGAAGAACCGCCGGGACATGGAGGGCTGGTACAAGGGCAAGGTGCGACTCCCGGCCCGCGGGGATGGGCCAGCTGCTGGCACCCTGTGCGCTTGGCCCAGAAACCTCACCACTTTCTGCAGCTCAGAAATCGCTCTTCTCTCTCTCTCTCCACAGTTTGATGTCCTAAGCCAGCAGGTGTCAGTGAGCACAGAGGCTCTGCAGTCCAGCAAGTCAGAGATCTCCGAGCTGAAGCGCGCCATCCAGGGTCTGGAGATCGAGCTGCAGTCCCTCCTCAGCCTGGTGGGTGGCCAGGACGCTGCCTTGTGACTGACCTTCCTCACAGCGGCGCTAATACCACAGCCCCAGAGCTGCAGCACGCAGAAACAGAGCTGTCTGGAATGGTTTTAGACTAGAGACATAAAACCGAGGTCCTGACTCTCTGTGGTCGTTAAAAATCCCAGGGCGTTTCTCTTATAAAGAGTAGGGTAGTTACCCTGGTGTCCCGGCCAAATTTCCCATTGGCTCTTATCAATCATGGCCTCCTAATAACCCCCATCTCTGAACTGGCTTCATCACTCTGCTCTCCTGGCGCACTATGGCTGCCATCGCATCATCCAGGTGGGGCTGCACACTGGTGGTGGTGGAGGGGATCCCCATTACCTGTAAAGCGCTTTGAGTGGGGTGTCCAGAAAAGCGCTATATAAGTGTAAGCAATTATTATTAATTATAATTGTTATTAGAGCCAGACTGGTGCTTCTCGGCTGTAATCCTGCAAAGAATTGGGTTCTGGACTCGGACACGCAGGCGTGTTTCTTGTTGTTTTAAGCGGAGCTCCAGTTGGAGCCGTGAGAGGGGAACTGGGTGATGATCGGTGTCGGGCAGCTGCAAGCAGAGCTCGGGGCCCTGGGGCTCCAGCCAGAGTGGAAGGGCAGCGCTGACCCTCGCTCTGTCCCCTCAGAAAGCCGCGCTGGAGGCGACCCTGCGGGAGACGGCCGAGGGGCGCGGCGAGGAGCTGGCGCGGCTGCAGGGCGTGGTCCACCGCCTGGAGGGGGAGCTGGCGCAGGTCCGGGGCGACGCCGCGCGGCACGGCGACGAGTACCAGGCCCTGCTGGACATCAAGACGCGCCTGGAGCGGGAGATCTCCATGTACCGCCACCTGCTGGACGGGGAGGACAGCAGGTAACGCGCGGGGCTGGAGACGGAGGGCAGCGGGCAGGGTGGAGTCAGGCTGGCAGAGTTAGTGCCGCTCGGTCAGCGCGCGAGCGTGCAAACGCACTGACTTCCTCTTTCCTTCTCTGTGGTTGCAGGAGCATCGCGCAGCAGGCGAAGGGTAAGTGGCACCCCTCCCCCTGTCTGGGTGGGGCGCGGTCTCGTCTCTGTGCCCATTATCAACTGGCCAGCTCCTCCCCCTCGCTGAACGTGTGCTGATTGCTGTTTCCGGCCGCCGGCCGTGTTGCAGAGACCACGGTGAGCAGGGCCCGGAAAGTCCAGACCATCGTGGAGGAGGTGGTGGATGGGCGGGTGGTGTCCTCCAGGGTGGAGGAGGTGGTGCAGAAGATCTAAACCAACCCCCCCTTCCCAGCTCCACTGACCAGCCCACACCTGGCGGACCTCTGACCTTCTACCAATTACACAACACCTTGTCTTCCCCAGCTCTGGCCTCTAGCGTCTCTCTCCATGTGTCAACAGCTCACGAGGTCTCCCTGTAAACCCCAGCCCTTAATTTGCAGGGTCAACTAGATGTGCTTAATGTGTAGTTCAGAGGGGCTTGTGCCTCTGCACAGGTTGTATAGTTTTAAAAGCAAGTCAGCACCTTAAAAGATAGGAAAAGCTGTTAAACCGCTCTAGTTTGGCCAATAATCAGCTCACCTGGCTCGTTAAGACCTAAATGGAAGCTTGGAGGCAGGACCGGAACTGGGCGTCTCCCAGTTAAAACAATTTAAAACACTCTCTTTAAGAACAGAACTATTAACCAGTTAGATCTTAAGAAAGGTTACACTGAACAGGGGGTATTGGACACATTTTCCTCATTGCTTAGTGATCTGAGGATCACATTCAGGTGGTTTGTGAAAGATCCCAGACGAGGTTCCTCAACACTGTGGCTGAGCAGAATATTTCAGCCTTTTTGCAATTCAGGTGCATTCCTCTCCTGTCCTGTGGATGTTCTCTGCTCCTGGTTTCCCCATCAGCTTGGCAAGAGTCCAGTCTGTTGTTCAGGACTAGAGGGACTTGTTTGTTTGTTTTTTTACTCCCCTGTGACTTTCGAGACAGAAACCAAGATCTAGAAAACCTGTTTCTTTGCCTCCCTCTAGAGCTGGTCTGTCTGCTACCACTTTTAACAAACACAAATCATCCCCTTTTCAAAGAGGCAGCTGGCTCTGGGTCTACTGGTACTGATCTATCTGAATCCCAGGATGAAAGGAAGGGGTTTGGAGGGGTTGGTAGAGTCCAGTGAGAGGACAGCTCTTCTTTCTCTTGTGTGACTATCAAAGGACAATGTGGAAATGACCTTTGTCATCTTTTCTTAAAGCAAAAGGCTTATTTGTTTCTTTACTGCTTCATTGATCATATTAAACAGTTAAGGAACAAGTTAAGGTTTATTCCATGCTGAAAAGAGAAGACAAGAAACGCAACATTTTGGCTGTGGAGCCTTCTTCCGGTGTTTCTATATTAAATTGTTACAAATCAACAGAACTGGTAAAGGTACAAATAGGCAGCAGATGGATAAATAAAGATGATTCAGGAATGAACTCCGTGTCTCTGTCTGTGGAAGTCACAGTAGCTTGCTGGCCCGGGTGCTCAGTTGGCTCTTTGACGCTGAAGTCAGCAGCCACAGGACGAGTGTGAATCCTGCTGTAAGTTAAGGGCTGCATCCTTCAGGACTCACCAGTGGGCAAACCGTGCCAGTGCAAGGTGACTGTGTCTGGGGGTACTGCACTGCTATCTACTGGGGTGTGTGTACAGTATACTGTCCACGGGGTCCCAGCCCTGTCCCCAGACGGGTGCTGCCCTGGAAGAGCTCCTGTCCAGCAGAGGTCAGAGGTCACCTGCCCCCAAAGGTCTGGATACATGGATCCAGGTGGGGCTGCACATTGGTGGTGGTGGAGTCCCCATTACCTGTAAAGTGCTTTGAGTGGAGTGTCCAGAAAAGCACTATATAAGTGTGAGGAATTATTATTATTATTATTATTATCACATTTGATTAAGCAATTAGTGCACTTGGAGGAGACAACTCTGGTACGTTGCTCAAGATTATTACTTGACGACCCACATGACCAATCAGTTTCTTTAAAGAGCTTGTCTGATATGGGTGTTTGTGAAAGATTTCAGAGCTGAAAGCAAAAAAAAAAGACGACAACATCCAACTCAACGGATATTGTTCCCCGTTTCAACCAAAATTGTGTAACTGCTCCGAAAAAACAGCAGAGGGCGCTCAAATTCATGTTACTCGAAAGGCAGCAAACTTGACACCAGAGGGAGCCCATACGCCCATTAATCGATAAAAGTCAACCCTCGGCTGCGCCCACATTTCAACGTAGGCGAATGGACGCTAGAGGGCGGTACGGTACGTTTGGGTGCCCTTGCTGTCAGGGGTTTGACACTTTTTAGACACCAGGTGGCAGTATACAACATAGTACTCTACAGTATTTTGTGATGTTCTTTTCTGAGCCAATACAAAAACTGTTCTATAACGTTATATTTATATATAATAATACTTATAATATAGGAAGAAGTAATTGGTTTATTCCATGCTGAAAAGAGAAGTCTCCACACTTGAAGAAGGCTCCATGACCGAAACATTGTTTTCTTTCTTCTCTTTTCAGCATGGAATAGACCTATTACTTGTTCCTTTGCAGCCTACACATGCTGATGCAGCTGCCCACCTGAACAAATTCGAATATAATTGTACACAAATTACAAACTATTTTCCTAAACATACTGGCACTAAATAGTGTGAATAGAAATGCATTTTGTGTTCTCTACCTGCTCACCTGCCCTATATTATCTGACATTAATTGCTGTTTTCAAGTCACAGTTCACAGATACATTTCTTGCTCTGGTTTCCTGTGCGAGTCTCGCATGTATAAATATACGGTGTATTATAGTCAGGATTTTTCAGCAGTGGTTTTGCTGTGGTGGGAGACTGTGAGGATGTTGAGAGCACAGCTGATCTCATAACAGGCGTGTGGCAGTGCTGCACCACGGCTTGCCTGACCGCAATTAGAAGAGATTAGCTGAGAGAGGGAGCTCGTTAAGCAGGCCATACGAGAGTGTAAAACAAAGTGTTCCTCCCGCTTAAGATCTCCCTCTGACTTCCTGTGATGGGGAAGACATTCCTGTGACACCTTGTTCTGATCCACATTGATGGAGCACTGAGTCCTGAACTCCCACCCACCCTGAGCCTGCAGGGCTTTTCACAATAAAGCAGGGAAAATTCTGCCAATGAGTAGGAAAGACCAGCAGCAGCCCAGAAGTGTGCCAGAGATTACAGCAAAGAGCTGCTACAAACACACACAGAAGGAACTTCAGCTCTACAAGTTCGTGTAGGCTCAGAGGAATTTTGACAGGAGCTTTCGAACATTTGAAAGACCTAAAAGGTTAGCCCCTGTATTAGGAAACTGCAAGTCTGCTTTATTGTTTGTAATTACAGGTCTATCCAGTAGCCAGGAGTTCCAAGAAACAACTCCCAACTTTTCTCATCCATGAATAATCAGTTCGGGAAACTTGTCTCGGATGCAACACCCTCTGCACGAGATCCCCTCGATAAGGTTGATCATTTAGGCTCTCAAAAGTATCATCAGGCTCTCCTCATGCTACCAGTTCAGTGCAATAGCTGACTTTTCCCTCACTTTAAGTTTTCCTGGTTCTAATGTTACAATCGGTTTTCAATTTCAAGACATTTCACAAACTTGATCACAGGCTTGTTTCTTCTCCTGCTGTCATGGTATCACCCCTCTGTCCCATTTTAGAAACTGACAGTCCCAGCACAGATAATTACACTTCAGCTACAGGTTGTGAACCCCTTGTAAATATCATTAAAATAATCATTTAGAGGATTCATGCAAAGACAGGCAAAATCTTTACACAATATTACATCATGACAGTAATTACCAAGCCCTGTAATTATCGAGGTATGGCTTTGCAACTTTCAAGACATGCACATTTAAGTGGAGAGGGAGGTCACCTATTGATACAGGTATGGCTCTAAGTACTGAAATAGATATAAGTAAAAGTACAGATATTGAATCACAGTCACAAGTGTAAGTGTCCAGATCTCCAGTTCTCCAGTCTTATAACTGGAGCCAGCAGCCATATCACCCTGCAACTCCCAGCTGGCAGCCCACTGAAGCTCAGCAGGTGTGAGTCTGGTCAGTACCTGGATGGGAGACCTCCTGGGAAACACTAAGGTTGCTGCTGGAAGAGGTGTTAGTGGGGCCAGCAGGGGTTGCTCACCCTGTGGTCCATGTGGGTCCTAATGCCCCAGTATAGTGACTGGGACACTATACTGTAAAAACAGGCGCCGTCCTTCAGATGAGATGTAAAACTGAGGTCCTGACTCTCTGTGGTCATTAAAAATCCCAGGGCATTTCTCGAAAAAAAGAGTAGGGGTGTAACCCCTGGCCTGTGATCAAGTAGGGGTGTCCTGGCCAAATTTCCCATTTGCCCTTACCAATCATGGCTTCCTAATAATCCCCCTCTATGAATTGGCTACATCACTCTGCTCTCCTCCCCACTGAGAGCTGGTGTGTGGTGAGTGTTCTGGCGCACTATGGCTGCCGTTGCATCATCCAGGTGGGGCTTCACACTGGTGGTGGTGGAGGGGATCCCCAATAACTGTAAAGCGCTTTGAGTGGAGTGTCCAGAAAAGCGCTATATAAGTGTAAGCAATTATTATTATTATTATTATTTAGCACGGAAAAGGATTTGCTTGTTCTACTGTAATTGCGTGACAATGGTAATGTATCTCTTTACCTATTTGCATTTTTACTCATCCTAGCAGGTACCAGCAAAGACTGCCCATAAGCCAACAGGGCCCACAGGGTTTGATGTTATTTCTGCATCTTATTTGAATTCTCTGGACTTGTAGAGACACGCAATCACAGCAGAAATCTTACGCTAGGAATAAAAGTCAAGACGCAAATTTAAAAAATAAACAAAATCAAGCTGCCCAAGTTGGAAAGAGCGGCTGTTCTTCGCAGTCTGTGCCCAGGAGCGCCCACAGTGATCACCTGCCCAGAGGAATGTGATTAACTCTGTCCCTTTAAAAACCGAGCCCTTAAAAGACAAGTTTACTAGCTGACGTTAGTCTTCGGTTCATTAACCCTGCATGTTAATTGATCTCCCTGATGTGTGTTTTTTCGATTCTCTGCCAGTCCTGCAGTTGAGAGTGCTCCACACCCTCGGGGGAGCCCTGTGGCGGAACCTCTCCCACCGCATAGACATGCACTGGGGAAGAGAAAAAGTGTTGCACGGGGCTCAGAGGCTCAACCAAACCTATTTGCTTCCTTAATTACAAGCATGACTAACATCCCAGAAAAACACCTTTAAATCATTTCATTGCAATGTTTAATTGGTCACTATGACAAACAGCAATCCTAAATCAATATACAAATCTCCTTTCATATGGAGCTCTCCTATGCTGGTGTTGACGAGTTACAGTCCGTCTGGTTCTAATTTAGGTACTGAATTAAGTCATTCATTGAACTGGTTGATGTTTGGATTAATTAACCCAAACACAAGGAAAGAAAGAATTTGTGATTAATCACATCTCCTCGATTCCCGACTGAGGAATAGTGGGTCTCCCAGGGCTGTGGCCTCGATATATGGGCTGGCCGTGACCTTCGGACTCTGACCGTGACAGTCAGAGGTCCGCCGCTCTCCCAAGACCCTCGAAGAGAGGAGGGGCAGCACGTGTGCTGCAGACACCGGAGTTTGATCTCGTTTCTAACTCCTTCCTCATTGAGGTTTCACACGCCAGCAGCTGCAGCCCAAGCACACTTTCAGTAAGATACCCTGCATAAAACTTACATACAATCACGATTCACATTCCCACACTTCATCACACCTATGCACTCTAAGACCATCTCCGTAATCCTGAAAGGCAAAGGTCCCCAGTGTCTAAAGTAATGGAACATTTCCAGAGTGATTAATTAAACAGCAGCATATCACCCTTCAACTCACAACTGGCAGCTCAGTGAAGCTCAGCAGGTGTGAGCCTGGTCAGTACCTGGATGGGAGACTCCTGGGAAAACTGAGGTTGCTGCTGGAAGAGCTGTTAGTGGGGCCAGCAGGGGGCGCTCACCCTGCAGTCCATGTGGGTCCTAATGCCCCAGTATAGTGACAGGGACACTATACTGTGAACAGGCACTGTCCTTTGGATGAGACGTAAAACCGAGGTCCTGACTCTCTGTGGTCATTAAAAATCCCAGGGCGTTTCTCAAAAAGAGTAGGGGTGTAACCCTGGCATCCTGGCCAAATTTCCCATTGGCCCTTACCAATCATGGCCTCCTAATAATCCCCATCTCTGAACTGGCTTCATCACTCTGCTCTCCTCCCCACTGAGAGCTGGTGTGTGGTGAGATCCCCTCATATCATCCAGGTGGGGCTGCACACTGGTGGTGGTGGAGGGGATCCCCATTACCTGTAAAGCGCTTTGAGTGGAGTGTCCAGAAAAGTGCTATATAAGTGTAAGCAATTATTATTATTATTGTTATTAAACAGTAACTTAGATTAAAGTAAATCAGTCAAA